ACCCCCCTGTACACGTTGCTCGCGTGCCTGCTCGCTCAGTAAAGTGTCCGGCTCTCATGCCGTGTAGTGGGCCGTGTTGTGTTCGGCGTGGCCAGGCCCACGAGTCGACCACCACCACATCTGGCACAGACATCTCAGCAACTGTCGCAGCCCTCGCCGTGTCATGCCTCTCTGTCGCGCTGGTGCTCTGTTCACCTCCGCTATCGTGGTGGCGGTCGCATGTCCCTCAAGAAACCCCCGGCAATAGTCAACTCCCTTTCATACCCCTTCCTCTCCCCTGCTCGTCTCCATTGCCTGTTGCCGTGCGATTGCCGAGGAAGCGGTGGGCTCATCACGTTAGAGCTGGCGCGGTGTGCCGACGGTTGAGCACGTGACGTTGCGACACTCCGCCGTTCAGCAGGAAGCCGCCGTTGCTGCTGCAGTTGCTTCTTTTTGGTGGGCAGCTGCCGCGCCTTCTTTGGCCCCTCGGCACGGAGGAGTGGTGCCGCAGTCGTAGACAGCGTCGCGTCCGGCACCCGAAGAGCCCGCCACACACCACCACGGCCACGTCCTCTGCCTCTTCCACGGCGCCGGTGCAATCACCTCGACGAAGGAGCTCTTGCGCGAGATGCGGTGGTTCATCAGCGCTCCGGCGACGCAACACTCCACGACAATGCTTGAAAGATAGAGGACGCCTTGACGGTGCACCTGCTCAGCGGGAGCCACTTGGAGTTCTCAGCAATCAGAATCGCCGTCGTGTCTGCTTCAATTTCTCTTGTTTTCGCGCCTTTATCTCAATTTCTTCTCCCTCTTTCCACTCCGTTTTTTCAGTCGCATCTTCTTTCCTTTTACAGCTATATTTAGTCGTTCTTCTCTTGTGTGGTCTCGTAAATCTTGTTTTTCTTCTGCGTCCCTCCTTCTTTGAGCACAAATACCTGCTATCAATTATCGTCACCTCGTTCTCTCTCCGTCTAAGTACCTCACTTCAGATATTTATTTCGCTTTTGAAGATTTCAAGTCTCGGATAATCAACCGTTCTGGACTTCTCTCTTGCTACATAGAGGAAGGCTGGCAACGTTACAACTGACGGTTCTTCTTTCAACCAATCAAGCGTTGCGTTTTGCAAAGCGGATCATAAAGACGGTAAAAAAGGCCCCTGGGTCTTCTTGCATCGAGTCACATGTTGACCAAAGAATGACCGTACTCCACCCTCTTCTTCTTGCTCTGTTCTTCAAAGGATGCAAAGCAGTGCTGAGAGTGCGGCAGTGACAATCCACTACCAAGTAATATAGAAAGGAAAGAACTGTGATTCAATTGCGACGCTGCACTCGGCATGCTCGAGCTACTTCTGTCTGGTTTCCACCATTTTCGAACGCAACGCACATCGATGCGCAGGAGTCAGCTTTTGATTTCATCTACCATCCCCTTATGTGGCACCACACTTTTTCACCGCTAGGCAGCTCTCAGCAACTGGCACTATAATAGCCCACAGTACCGGGAGAGCAGAGCTGCTCGATGATCGCATTGCTCTAATCCGCTGCTTGTTAACGTGGAAAAGAAAGGGCAGCGCTGCCGTTGTAGCACCGTGTCAATCGTGCTACACAGCCGTTGTAGATGCCGGCCTCAGCGCATCTGTGGGTTCGAAGTGCTGCCTCACCTCATTCCTTTCCCGACGAAGCACAAGCACCGGTGGAAGCACCTGGGAACAGAAACTGCTCTGCTACTGTGCCGCTTGAGAAGAAACAGGGTGCGCTACGTCCTTCACCTGTGATCTCAGCACTCTTGAAGGCAGTTTGCTGTAAGGGCGAAATGCGCGTCTGGCAAAACGAAAGGAGACCAAAACTCGTCAAGAGAAGAGCGGGGAGACCACGTTGCTGAAAGTACAACGATAAATGTGGCACTACCCGCAATTCAGCGGTGTCAACCTCTATCCCTTACACACATAAGCGTTGCAGATGAAAAGTCACCACAGGACACCATTTACTTGTAATAGAATCCTGATGCGCTCTCTTCGCACCCGTGAGATCTTGTCGTATGACCGTATTCCGCTTTACCAAGTGCAACACTCTTTGCGGTGTGATTTTGTTATTGTTATTATTCGGTGAACGTGTGTGGCAAAGTGAAAAGAAAGACAATAGAAAGCACATCAGCAGATGCGTACTTCTCGGTTCGCCAGTCGGTTTCCTGCAAGCCACTGTACACAACAAGTAGCAGGAAAGGAACGCTATTCAACCTGATGTTGCTCAGCTATGCATACAAAAAGAAGAAGAGATTGTTTTTACCGAGATGGATTTTTGACAGAATTCGTGATTTAGAAGCAACAGTTCAAGCACTGCAACACTTCGAAACCGCAAAAAGAAAAAGGAGGCTACGGCATCGAGGAGCATCAAAAACAAAAAAGATCGCTAAACAAAGAGTAACTGGTGAGAAGAAAAAAGGTTTGAAGCGTCACCTGCGCATTTACGAATGTTGCGACAGCAGGGAGTCTGCTCAACTGTGCCACCAAGAAGAAATCAAACAACAAGCGATAATCAAGGCCTCAATGTTGATAGGTTTGACAGAAGACGTTTAATACAACACTGGGATGGTTAAAAGAGAAAGCCCCTGCGATCGGAGGAAACTATCCGGATCCCCTCTGTCAACTGGCATGGTCCGTGCAGGGGCGCTTTCAACACACACCGTTGAGATAAAAGCTGCAGTTTTACTCGAAAGGCACGCAGGCAGAAACTGCACAAAACGTGATAGATGCAGACAACGCACGGTGCACTCGTATACGATGCAAGCAACCAGTTGCAATAGAAAACGATGGCAGCACAAGGGGTACTCGGTCGCGCACACTCCTCGTCAGCGCGACAGAGTTGATAAGCACAGAAAAAGGGAACCTTTGAAAACGATCTTTGCACCAGTCGTTGTGTCGTCGTCCTGCTATACTCTACCTTTGGACCTGTACGTAGGAGTTGAAAAAATGAGTGACATCCACTTCTGTGTAGCATGTACGGCTAAGTGTTTTAAGCTGGTGGACCTTGAAAGATCACGAATGTCCGCTAAGCGTCTGTTTCCACTCAGGCAGAGTTCTGTGAGACGTGGGCAGCTGTTAAGCCCGTTCACACTGCGAATATCACAGTGCACCGCGTTGAGTGTCCGAAGTGACGGCGAACCAGCAAGGCCGCTCAGGTCCACCAAGGCGCTGTTATAGGAGATATCGGTCTCGCTGAGCAGCGGGCAGGTGTTCAACCCATCGATGCTGCGGAGTCCTCTACAGGCGCTCACAGAAAGCTTCTCGAGGCTCGGCGCACCAACGAGGCCGCTCACGTCTTCCAGGGCACTGTTATGGGAGATAACGACCTCGCGGAGTAGCGGGCAGCTGTTCAGCCCGTCGACGTTCCGTAATGCACAGCACGCCGCTTTGACGATCCGAAGTGAAGGCGCACCAGCAAGGCTGCGAATGCTCTTTAAAGAGTTGTTGCCCGACACGTCAAGGGTGCTGAGGAAGGGAAAGTTGCCGAGACCGTCTAAGTTTTGTATGCCACAATTCGCTGCGAGTAGAGTCTTGAGACGAGGTGCGTCTGCGAGACCCGAAAGAGTCTGCAGGTGTAGAGTAAGAGAAAGCGTATGAAACAGCTTCCCGGTGTGAAACCAATTGCTGCAGAGAGATATGGGAGTTTTAAAAGCAGCACGACACGTTTGCGTACACCTGTTGACCGAGACCGTCGCCGCTTCCGTTGCCTCACTTGTTAAGTCTCACCGTTGCTACAGTGCAATGGCGCCTGCTGAGGAATCCCTTCGCTTGACTTTCCGTTTAAATTTGCGGATGCATCCACTGTGCAGCAGCTGCTAAACACTGTAGCCGGCATTTAACATGAATCATCAGAAGAGAAACGCACAATAAATCAGCAGCGGGTACACGCTCCCCAGGCATGCAAGGCAAGGAGCGTTATGGGCGGCGTCGAGCAAATTGACAGAAAAGAAGAGCGGTAAAAAGAGCCGTGCTCAGGAATCTTCAAGGTAGACCGCAAGTAAATCGCATAAGCACGGATGCTGGCAGGAGAAGTTGGAGCTCGTGGTGGTGGGTTGTCGGATGGGTGGTGAAAGAAGAGAACGCGGAATACCTCGAGATTTGGGTGGGTCAGGCAACGCTGCTGATCTACCCTGACACTTCGAACTCTGGAGCTCCATCCCTTTAGCTAACGCCGATCACGTTACATCACCCACACATCCAGCAGTCCCAGGATGGTGGATTAGGCAAGAGTGCTCACGTCCGCCCACAGCTCACTTCCACACACACACACACACACACAGTAACTTCAGAAAGCAGCAGACAGCGGCTCCAACACCTTACGTTACGCAGTCCGCATTCACGGACAGAAAGCTTCTCCAGGAGTTGTGCGCCAACTAGATCGCGGTGATCCTCTGGAAGCTCCTTCTCGGACACATCGAGTGCTTCGAGTATTGAACAGTTCTTCGGGTTACGAGGGTGCTCTTCTTTCACTGTTGACTGCTGTTAAACGACGCAAGTGCAGTGCTCCAACCAACGAAGAGAAGCTGTTGTGTAAACACAGATTGCAATCTGTGAATCAAATGATTGACATCTGCGCAGCCACAAGTATCTTGCATTGCATAGGAGCGACGGCTGCACCACCGGCATCATCAGTTCCGTCAAGTGAGGGAACATCGACAGCTTGTCAAACAGCAGTGCCGCAAATCGCATCGGATGTTGATGTGGAGCGTTGCGTTGCCTCATCTTCCTCCGTCCAGTTCTTCTTTTGTCGGTGAAGAGCATTGGCACACTGTTGCGTGCTTTACTAGCATCCAACACCAGTAGCGGTCTGCAGCGATCCGCCCGTCATGGCAAGTGCGAAAGCCTAAAGTGCTTCGGTGTGTCGTCAGTCCCTATACTTGTACGCACAACACGGTTGCCTCTTCGCAACACCCTACTGTATTTTCCCTCATCGTTAAAGCAGTTCATCAGCGCCTTCATGTCCAGTCTCCTCTGTCGACATCACGGCTGTCTGCGTAGAGGATGCGTTCAGCTCATGAACTGCGCAACTCCGTAGGAGTACCACAGAAACGCTGCTTTACGAGGATAGTTTACAGCTCATGTACGCAACAGTAGAATACAGTGGCTGCCGCGTTGTCTACACAATTCGCGTGGGATAGTGCCGTCACTGGGTGTATGGAAGGAGAGGAGGATAGACGCATCTTCTCTGTAAAGAATAAGCCACTATTGCGTGTACCCATGTAGAATGCAGGCAGGCACAGAGGAGAGAGTAAAGCGGGCGGAGGAAGAAACTACGTAGAGAGCGCGAGGGTGACGTTGCTGCGGTGGGCACGTTAGATCGTTCGTTTTCCCAGGTTGAAGCGCAGAGTGGGTGGAGAAAGCAATGCTTTCGTCCAAGGGAAAGTGCCATTACCGTTGTACTTCGTGCGTGACGCTTTACGGAGGCAGAACAGCATCAACACAACTGGAAATGAGACGCGGGTATGTTGTATAATGCGAATCGATAGTGTTTTTATTCGGCGAAGAAATAACTCATCACGTGAACGCCATCATCATGGAGGACCAGGCGGCTCTCTGGGTCCATGCTGCGCTGCTTGGACAGCGGTATCCAAAATGGCTTCATCCAGAAGCTGCTCCTCGGCCAAGTAAGCGTCTAACGCGTCATCTAGTTTCTGCTCTGCTGCGGCTGCTGCATCCAATGGCTTGTGGGACGCCGCTTTTGCTTTGGTGGGGCCTTTGGGTCGAAGATGTGTTGTCATTTTGGCGGCCAGCTCCTTGGAAAAGACGTCGCTTTTCGTTGGCGCTGGCGCCAGCTTCGCCGCGTGGAGAGGGTTGCTTGTGGGCGCGGTTGTGTCGAGCAGCGCCTCGTCAAGCAGGTCCTCGTCCTCAAAGAAGGAGTCGAGAACGTCGTCGAGGGTGCTGTCTGCTTTGGATGTCGCCGCTGGAGCTGCAGCTGTAACTGGAGCGGCAGGCGCCATCGCCGTGGGTGGGGCGGGGAACCCCGTCTGCACGGCTGCCGCCGCTTTGGGTGCTGCAGCAGCAGGGCGAGGCTGTGCGGCGGGTGCCGCCTTCGGTGCGGCGACGCGCGCAGGGGATGCCGTGGATCGTGGAACCAACTTCTCCGGCACGACGCGGAGGCAGACACCCACCGCCACCGCAGAGACGGCAACAACGGCTAGTTCAACGAGCACCCGTATTACAGACACCGCGGCCAACGACTGTGGATCGACAATTTGCAAGAAGTCCATCGTGAATCCTTGGTTGGATAAAGACAAACCTGTAGTATATGGAAAGGAGAAGAAGATACAAGATAACGTGCACAGAGACTTGTTACGGCTAATGATGGAAATGTACAAGGAGTTGAAACGCGGAGAACGGAAGGGGAAGTGGAAGAGTGCCCCAAAATAGGAAGACAGCAAATGAGGTATTAAACTGCCGCCATGCAGAGATCGAACCCACGTTCACAGAGACTAACAACAATAGCTGATAACAGGGTTCTTTCCGCCAACAAAAACATGTGCATGACACCTAACGATCTCTCTTTCGCATTCAGAAGTTAGTCAGAAACACGCACAGCAAACACAAATGTGAGAATGCACTGGAGAGGAGTTTATGCGCTAGAGTAAGATAAGAGAAACCGTCCTTGCTTCCACGAAAAAAAAAAGATCGTTATAAAGGAAAATGAAGAAAAAACGAACGCACAGCGAAGGCGGTCGTTGCGTGATGATGCGGACAGCGGGTCACTCCGCCGCCTTCAACACAGCCGTGATGGCTTTCACCTGCCCCTCACTGTCGTTCAAGCACGGCACGTAGATGAAATCACGCCCACCGTGCTCCTTAAACAGCCCACTCGCGTCCTCCGCAATCTCGTGGATCGTTTCCACGCAGTCCACTGCAAAGCCCGGCGCAATCGCAAAGCACACGTTTACCTGTTTCTTCGCGAGAGCCGTGTTGTGGCAGGCCTCGCAGAATTTCTGCTTGCGAGCGTCACTCGGTGCTGCCGGAAGCGCCGCAACAGCCTCGACGAGCTTCGGCCCAATCCACGGCTGGTTGCCGAACTGCGATTGGTAGACATGCACGATGGAGTCGGCAAAGGGGACGCCGGTCTCCTTCTCGAGGTACAACTGAACCGCGCGTGTAGTCGCCTCGCACCGCTGCGGGTAGTCGTCGCCCTCCTCCGCGTAGCGAATGGGGATGCTGTGGTACGAAAACACAAGGGCGACGTCCTCCATGTGCGTCGCCAGCACCGTCTTCCAGCCATCAGCGGCAGCGGACATCTTGGCGGTCACGTATTTTTTTATCGCGCTCAGCAGACTCGTGGCGACGGACTCGACGTACGCCGGGTGGTCAGCGTAGTCGCGTATGGTGCGCAGTCCCGGGACGCACCGTCGGTTCTTATCGGAGTAGAAGCGAAACACTTCATCGTAGATACACGCGGTGGTCGTGGAGGAGTACTGCGGAAAGAGCGGCAGCACCACCAACTCGTGAATGCCAGGAAACTCCTCGTGCATGCTCTTCAGAGCGGCGGGAATGTTTTTGGCACCGTAGCGCATGGCGTGACGCACCACAACGTCGCCGTGCGACTGCGCCTCCACGATGGCACGCACCTGGTCCGTCAGGCTCTCGGTGTAGAGGGCCAGAGGAGAGCCTTCCGTCTTTCCGTTGATCACAACGCCCGAGCTTTTCTTGATCCAAATGTGATTGTACAACGGGAGGATCTTGACGGGGCGGAAGGGCAGAATGAAACCGTAGAGAATGGGGTACCAGATAAAGCGCGGCACGTCGATGACACGCCGGTCCGCCAGAAACTCGCCCAAGAAGCTGCGCAGCGCGGGGGCAGTCGGTGCGGTGGTGGTGCCCAGGTTGACCAGGAGCACCGCCTTGGACGGACCGGGAGCTTTGAGCATCGATACGACAGTGTTGTAGCTACAGTTGTAAGTAGATATTAAAAAACGGTCTTACAAAAAAGAAAGACACGAGTAATCAGAAGAAGTAAACTACGACAATGTTGGCAATGACGGGCTCACTCTTGCGGAGAGAAGGTTTGAAAGGGAAAAGCGGCAGATGGAGAGCAAGGTGCGAGAGGTGTTGGGAAAGACAAAGCAAGACGATCTTTTTTTAGTGTGGATGAAGTCGAAGGAGTGAAGCCTTTAAAAATAGAGAGAGATTTACGCGCCCGGACAGTTTTCCATCAACGTGAAGAAAACATTCAGAGATTTGAAAGCTGAAACGCCGGAGGCCGTCAAAGCAGCGAGGTTTTATTGAAAATTGACTGACAAAACTGCGCCTTCACCGCTTCGTTGGAAACTCCAGCGAGAACGCCGGAAGGAAGTGAGCCCCCCCCCCCTTTCTCAGAATATGCTTCGCATTCTGTTGGGGAGGAGCTTCTCCTTCGCGCAGATCCTCTTGCAGAGCTTCGTTTTCTTTTCTTTTCATTTATTTTTGAAAGAGAAGTAAACATTTTTTCCCGATTAATCACAAGACAAGTAGGAGACCTTTTCTTATATCTCTTTTACCTTTCTGTCTGTCTCATCACTCACGCGTCGCCACGCCTCCTCCCGCAACATCGCCGGCTCACTTCTCTGTCGCACACGCGGCGGTGGGCACGACACTCGAGTGTTTGCTCTCCGTTTCGCAAAAGCACAACGACAAAGGGAAAATGGAAAAAGAGAACCCGAAGAGCTGTAAAGGCGGGGGACAGCATGGTTGCAATTTGAGGGGCATGCTGGGTGCTCAACAAAGCACGAGCACGCTTCAGAGCATGAATTCTGAAACCTCAAAACACGCAGAGAGAGAAGATGTATGCTCGCCGCCGTCTCTGCTGCGTCGTGCATCTTTGTTCAGAGCTCGGACTTGCGCTCCCCATCAAACGAGGGCATTACGCGTTCACTCATACAAAAAGAAAAAGGGAATGTCTACTTTAAATACGTTATGGCACCGCTAAATCAATAAGAAAGAAAACAAACTTTGTAAACGGTGATCATTTGTTTTGGTTTTGGAGGGGGGTGCATCTTCTTTTCTTTGGCTATGTCGTTGTGCGTCAGCACCCATGCGTTACCCCGTTTATCCCGGTCCTACATTAAATGTATAATATATAGAATTTGATACCTTATGTATTTATATTTTTCTTCTCCGGTCTGCTTTCCTCACAGAAAACAAAATTAGAGGAAAGCACGGCTTTCATTGAAAAGATGAGAGGCGAAACGAGTGGGGCAACGAAGAACAAACAACTACAAATGAGAGCCACCCATTTTCCCTTCTTTTCGTGTAGTGCTCGCCTTCGCAGCGGACTCAAGCAGGTGAGGTGCTCAGTTGGGCCACCTTCGCTTGCTTTCCTCCACCACGTGCACACCGCGTTCCTCAGCCGCACCCTCATTTTCGAGGAAAGGTGGGTGCGAAAAAGACACGCAGAAGACTTGGCGAAGATGCACGGTGCGACGACAATACGTAGAAGAAAAACAGAATGGAGGCTCAGCTTGCGATGCGCCTGCAGGTCGTCTCGATTTCTCCTGCTCGTTGTTGTTTCATGAGCGACACGGACCCGTCGCGAAGAGCGAGATGACTTCATGTGAGAAGTCTCCTCTCATCTCCCCGGCACGTCCCACTGCTCGAGTTTCTGCGGCTGTTGTTTTGCCTGCTTCGCCCACTCCATTCAACGGCCGCCCACGTCAGCCAGTTAAGTTAAATTACAAACTGTGGAGATCCGCCACGCTCCGTGCTCGATCCATTCGGGCCAATTCAAGACCGCAAACACGCAGGGAAAGGGAAGGAGGTAGCCAGCTTCGATGCTCCGCTGTGCGAGAAGTACAAAACATGAGAGAGAAAAGAATGCCCTAAAACTGTTGTGACGGGAAAAACGACGTGAACGCGGAGAAGCGCAGCGGAGGCGGCGGCGCTCCTTCACGTGCGTCTTCGCATGGAAGAGCAGCCTTTCTTACGCTGCTAAGTTTATTCCTTTTCTTTGCTGTTCGTTTTTCCCCTGGCGCGATGTGCCTGTGGAGCAGCCGCGACGTGGGGGATCCCCCGTCCCGATGACGGCGCGCACCTAATGTGTAACGTCACCTTATGCGAAGCAGATCAAGATGAACGAAATGATCGCCATGCACCAGGAAATGACGAAGAACGCGAAGCCGGGCTGGTACTCGCCGATGTCCCTGAAGCGCGCGTTGCACTGCGAGTTGTTGTAGAGGCCGGCAATCGCAGCGAAGGGAACGGAGCTAGTGATGACGCCAAAGAGAAGAATCAGGACCGCCGGGATCTTCGTGGCGAGGCACTTGCAGGCCAGCAGAAGCGACACCGTCATGCCCATGACGAAGGCAAAGAGAGAGATGATGCTGAAGGCAGCGGCCGACTTGAGAGTCGCCTCGAAGACGCCGCAGCGGGCGTAGAAGGCCGCATCGTGCCACGCCAGCGGGTGGGAGCCGCTGCAGCGCTTCGTACCCCAGACGGAGTAGCAGAGATCCTTCGGCACCACCCAGCTGTCACTGGTGATCTTGACCTGATCGTATGGGGAGCCGATGCACATGAAGAAGAGACCGATGAACTCCACAACGGCGATCACCACACATAGCGCCATGCGGCACGCGGGCACCTCCTTCGTCTTGGAACCTTCCTTGGCCATTTCTGCTTGTTGCGGGAGGAGGGGGAAAGAGCTTCTTGAATTACGTATGCGTAAATGAAACCGTGAGCGAACTCGACTACAGTTATCGAACAGAAGAGTAGTTGCGCAAGAGCGTAGGGGGGGGAACACGTATACACCACAGAATGATACTAATCTGCCAGGTAGCGTCGAAGACGGAAACAAAAGAGCAGGGGTTGGAAATGATGTGGCAATGAAAAATATGCGCACAGGTGCGACGGGGAGAGAGACCAAAAACAAAAAACAAAGGGGCGTGGGAGATGAAGAGAAGGTCTACAAGATTGCGAAATCGAGGGTGAGAGCACGTGCAGATCGTGGCATCGTTCGTTGCATGTATGACTATTCATTAAATACAGTTATCGGGAATACACTGCCAACGCAAATGGTCTCTCTTTTCACTTTAAGGGGCAGAAGCACGAACTGCGTCAACGTGCAGTGGCTTTCACATTTGCAAGGAGAAAAAAGAATAGCGTCGCACGGTAGATGCGCAGCGCAGGTGCACTCGGGGAAGGCGGTGACGCTGCTATGTTTTGTATCGCATGAAAGCCGCTGAAGAAAAAGGAAAGAAGATGAAAAAAAACCCGGCTCGCAAATAGCCACCGACTCCGCTTTTTTACTCACTCATGCCGTGAAGCAAAACATCGCGGACCTTCTTGAGCTGCGCGATCGCTTGGATGTAGGAATCTGTCAAACACTGCAGCTCCTCGGGCTTCATGTCCTCAGCGCGGAACCAGTACTGCTCCAGGTTTTGTATGACCCCGGCGAGAATTTCACCTTGCCGTGACGTCACCTCCGCGGGCAGGGTCACGGCGTCCGCAACGCTGATCACGTGCGGTGCCGTCGCCAGGCGGATTAAGCAGGAATCCGCGTTCGTCATGATGGCGCGGTAGAGCAGTTCCTCCACATGTTCTACGGGCGGGTACTTCATGAGGAGCTGCAGTGCCGTGCCGGCGTCGGTGGAGAGAGGAACGCGGATGTGCAAAAGCAACTGCGTGGCGAAGTAGAGCGCGACACTGTCGTCCAGCACGTAGGCGCGGCGGCCTGCCGTCGTCTGCACGTAGCGCTCACAGAAGATGACCGCCCACACTCGCAGCAGCTGATCAAATGACAACTCGCGCACAAAGAGAAGGCGCAGCCAGCGGACAAGATAAACAACGCTTTGGATGTCGTACTCCGCATCCAGCCGATGCTGCAGCTCTGGAGCCACCTGCGCCAGCAAGTCCTGCTGCACCCGCTCACACGCCACCACGACCCCGCTCTGCTCCGAGGTCGCCGCGTAGTACCACCGGGCCAACCCCAGTCCGTTGTCCTCCTCCAATATCAACCGCCGCAATAGCGCGTACACCGCAGCGGGCAGGTCGGCGTAGGCCTTCTCGAAAACTGTGAAGAAGGAGTTGGAGCGCAGCACGGGGTTGTCGCGCACGAGCTGCTCGGCCTGCATCTTGTCCCGGTGGCAGGCGTAATAGAGAAACGCCGCCAGCTCGTGGAATCCCTGCCTGTACTCCCTCTTCTCCGCCGTGCAGTACTTCACAAGAATGTCGGAAACGGCATCTTTTGTTTGCGGCTCTTGAAAAATTGGAACGTCCCAGAAGAGTCGGCTCATATCTTTGGCGATCGTCTGCCGCACCGCGTCGACTTGAAACTGTAGCGCGTAGGAGCTTTCCACCGCGGGGACGAGAGGGTTCTCCGTCGCGAAGCAAGTCGGTGGCGCAGCGTCCGTTAAACAGGAGGCGGGCGGCCTCGTCCTGTCCTCGACTTCGCTGCTCGTGCTGCTGCTACTCGACTCATCAAACCGCACAGCCCGCGCCTTCCGTTGGGGTGCGCTGCGGAGCGTCTGATCGAGGGAGCAGCCCGCCTCCTCCCACTGGTGTACCCACGCCTCGCAGGAAGACTGGCACGCCGTCAGTTGCGCATCGCCGTCCGAGAGGAGTGGAAGGGTGCCGAGCAGAAAGTGCCACCGCCAACTGTACAGGACGCCCTCCCTGCTGCGAAAGCTCGAGAAGTCGAGCGTGTCGCGCAGAAGCTTATCCTCCAGGTTATTCTTTGAGCTATGGAGCGAAAAGAAGGCAAGATCGTTCATGTTGTACTTAGTATTTTGGTTGTGTGCACGTGTGCGTGAAGAAATACCCTTCACGTATGTTTCGATGTTGTTGGCGATCGTTTTGTCTCGACATGTGTTTTGTTTGGCAAACAGGAAATACGTGCGTGCGGATGTGCTCCGATAAAACGCTCTCGTCCGTCTCTTGTATTTAATGCGAAAAGACCTCTGAGCAATGAAACCACTTGCCAGTTGACCTGAGTGGTGTAGGGATGGCCAGTCACGGTAACGCAGAGGGAAGCACGCTGCACAGGTTAAAAAGAGAAGCTCAATTTGTCCGGCTTAAATGGGAGGGAAAAAAACGGATCACAGCAATGAAGTCAGTGAGAAAGCCATAGTGATGCGCTTTACTATCAGCAGTGTTCATAAACACTCCTCAGCTGTGGGGCTTTTGATTTTTATAATCCAAGGCGCAGAGTACATATTTTACATCCGATGGCAACTAGCGTACTCCAGTCCGTTATCGTGTTACGTGTGTTTGCTTATACAGCGATAGATTTGATCCCCGGGTTTTTCTTTCAGTTTCCTTAAACACCCACTGAAGTGCGGTTCGTGTGGAAGATTCAGCGTTGTAGCATAGCTGCGTTTTTCGCAAGCCTTCCCCTCGGCCTGTGCAGTGGTAGTCGTGAGGCTCGCACACGCAAAACTAACTACAATCTCTAACAAAGCAAAGGGAAACCAGAAAAGAGCAGATGATAGCGTACATGCGCTAGGTTATCTACAAATGAGAGCGAAGAGGACGTATACACACAGGCGAAAATAAAAGGATTCTCCCTTCATGGCGGAGGCGGTGGCGCGGCGACCCCCTTCTCGTCGCTCTCCCCCGGAAAGGTGTAAAGAAACACGTTGGACGCCGGAATGGGAAAGGCGCCCTTCGGAACGGTGTAGTCGTCGTGGTGGGCCTGGAAAGCCTCGTGCTCGGCAACGCCTTCCGGCGCCACGACCAGCGAACTGTCGACGTCGTTCAAGTGAACCGCGTCCACCTTGGTCTGGGCGAGCTGCGTGATTTCATCGCAGTAGCGCTGCCGCAGCAGCTGGCCGTAGTGCTCGCCGGCCGCAAGGGAGAGCAACGCGGCACGCCGGTATGCTTCCGTGCCGGAGCGCATGAGGTCGACTTTGTATTTGCGGTAGGCCAGCCCGCGGAGCAGGTCGTCGTAGCGGAGGCGCAGATGATCATCCAGCGGGAGGCGCAGCGAGGAGAGAAAGGCGATCATGCTGGACTCGTTGCCTTTCTCGTTGGTGAGTCCGTCCGTCAGGCTCGGCGGAAGGTGCGGCAGGAAACGAAGGAATGTGTCGAAGTCGCACTTCAGCTGCTCCGCACCGGCGTACCGTAGCCACGCCCGGCGCACCTGCAGTAAGGGCTCGATGACATCCACGTAGAGGGGAACCATGAAGGCGTTCATCATGGCCGCAAAGACGAGCTGCACGGCGAGGATGTTGACGACAACCACAAAGGACACAAAGAAAGGGACGGCGGCGTGCGTGTGGCCGCAGGTCGCGGACGGGTCGCTGCGGCACGGCGCCCCCGTAAAGCAGGCGAACATGACGAGGTGCCACTGATCCAGCGTGCTGCAGTCAAACAACACGAGCAAGGAGCCGATGACAGTGCTGAAGTTGCGCTTCTCCGTCAGGTAGCGGCCGTGCGGCGCGACATCGCCAAAGACGAGGGTGCCCACTACCGCGTAAGTGAGCAGCGCGAGCAGGTACACGGCAAAGGCGCTGCCGAGAAGCTTGGCGTGGCGCACCGCTGGAAGCAGCTGCATCCCGATGTTGGAGGTCTTGATCAGCTTCACAAGCAGCGCCACACGAAAGAAACGAAGCGTGGGCGAAGAGACGCCGACCACCATGAGGGCGAAGAGCACCACGTCCAGTAGCCGAGACACCTTCGAAAGGTGCACCACCCCGTAGGCAACGACGCTCAGCAGAAGCTCCACGCCGCACGCCGCCACACCAACGCACACCATCGCGAGCAGCATCTTCTCTTGCCACGGCGGCTGGAAAACGTGGGCGGCAGCCAGAAAGCCGCAAGCGATAAGCACCACGACATTGAGCGCGGCGTAGAAAAGAGGATCAGACCCGTTCACTGGGCACGTCGTCAGCACGCGGTGGCACCAGCGCGACAACCGAAAAGGCAAGGGAGTGAGGTAGAAGTTGAGGTACAGCATGTACGCGATGTTCTGCCGCGACACCACAAGCCGGGTCTGAGGCGGCGTCAGCAGAGCCGTGCCCATCGACTCCATTGTCGGCCGCCGCAGTTTCGCCGCCAGCACAGCCGCCACGCACCGCAGCGCATAAAAGCGGATCATCAGCAGCGCCAAAATAAAAAACAGCACAAAGTAGCCGGCGTGGTTGTACGACATAGCGCTGTGGTTGCTCACGATGGCCATCGCGTCGTCCATGATGTGCCCGTAGTGGTTGACGGTGGTGAAGGCAAAGACGGAGAGCAGTGCAGGTCCGAAGGCGTCGTAATGAAAGGCCGCCCGCTCCCACACACGCTCGTGCTCGACGAGGGTCGTGTTGGTGTAGGTGTCGACACTGACGTTGTAAACTCCGCGGCACCCCGTCTCGCTCGTTACGTTCGGGTCGCTGCAGCGGTGCAGCCCGCCAGCAAAGATCTGCATCCCGGCCACAGCAAAGCCAACGTACAGGAAAAGAATCAGCGGCGCAGTCTTGGCCACGTACCGCAGCGACGTCACCAACGTGAGAAACGTCTTGTTGGGCCGCTCCTGGGTGGTGCAGAGACGTACAGTGCGAAGGACACGACCCACCCGCAGCGGGGCGTAGGCGATGCCAGCCAGCGCCGTACCGTTGGCCACCACATCGATCCAGTTCAGCGGCTCTCTGAAGTAGGCCGGCATCGTCCGTGCGCTGCCCTCGTTGCCGCCGCTGCCGTCGTTGCGGTCAGTGCCCGGGGAGAACACGCCGTACGCGATCCACTTCAGAATCATTTCGACGCAGAAGACCACCGCGTAGACGATGTTGATATCCCGCATTACGCGTTCTCGCCGCGCTGTCAAGTACCGGCGCTCAAAGAAGAGAGCCACGAAACCCAGCAAGACGCAGAGGGTGCTCAGGACGAGGTACAAGAAGGAGCCGAAGAAGCGCAGCAGCAGTCGTCGCAGCGGGCTGAAAGGGCTGATGAGAAAGAAGGCGTCGTGCCGAACGCGGAGTGGCTTCGCGGCGCCGATGCCGAACACGTTCGTATCGCGCAGCCGCTGCCGCCGCCGCAACACCTCGCCAAGACGCCCGTCAACGGTTTGGCCTTTGTGAACTCCGCCAACAACACGCCCGTTCGCCACCTCCGCCGAGGCGCCGCCTTCTTGCGCTGGCGGCAGCAGTAGTAGAGGTGGGAAGTCTTTGAAATTCAGCAGATCCTCGTCGCGCGCAGCGTCGCGGAAGCCGCGGAACAAAATGGCGTTTTCCAACCCAAACAGCAGCAGCACCGAGATGGCCTCGAGGGAAACAAAGAAGAGCGAGCCGGTGGCAACGGAGGAGTTGCGGCTGACTGCCGTCAAATACCGCGTCCAGACGTCACCCGTGAAGGCGCGAAAGCAGGCCAGCAGCGCCGTCCACAGTGTGGTGAAGTCGCCGTTCCTCACGAGGCCGTCAGCACTGGCGACGTACGCGCCGCTGAACAGCTGCATGCCGACAATCGCGTAGAGAAGCAGGATGGCCGTCCCGAGCAGCACCAAGCTCAGCAGGCACCACAGCTGGTAGCGGTACTGCCGCAAGGAGAAGAAGTACTTGCCAGCGTGGACGTAGCGCAGCACGCGTAGGATGCCCACCACACGGTAGTGGAACACGTACGGGGCAGCGAGCTCCAAGATGCCGGTGACAGCCCCAAAGACGTCGGTGTAGTTCCACACGTCCATCAGCGTGCGGGTGACACCAAAACCGATCAGCTTCAGCAGAAAAGGAACAAGAAAGTAAATCGCCATGGCGGAGGAGGCCCGGCGGATGTCACGTGCGTGCGTACCGGTGATGTAGATGGACACGACGGCCAATAGAACAAGATTGCCTATGGAAAGCACCATCATGAAGACCACGGAGGGCAGCGAGTCGACGAGGGTGGCGGCCCATCCCACGAGAGGCTCTGTGCCGCGACCGGGCGTCGTTGTCTGCTCGAGACCGCGCAGCCCGGCCCAGAAGCCGCGAACGTGGACGCTGCGGAAGAAGTCGCGGGCGTAGCGACGGTTCGCCGTCGTGGTTCCCTGCTCGGTCGAGTACGCCGTCAGCGCAGGAGCACCACTGCCGCTCATCGTCATGGTGTATTCCTCACTCCGCTCATACTCGTCGGCCTCCGCATCGTCGCCCGAGTAGGGGCCGCCGTACACGCGGGTTGAGCGCGGCAGCTGCCGTTGGTTTTGCCACGGTGGCATGCTCTGCACGCCGCAGTCCTTCCGCTGCCGATCCTCACCCGCCGCCGTCGCCGCGGCAGACCGCATGAACCACGAGTCGAGGTGGGCGTAGGCGTTGTACACGACCGTCATGGCCACCACCAGCAGGAACTGCGACACGGCCACCACCGTCACCAGGTAGAGCGCCGCCGCGGAGCCTTTCACGTGCATGACATCGTCCAGCTCCTCGTGCCACATATCCATTGACGTCACCTTCATCATGCGTAGAATAGCGGCGCCGACGCTCTGATAGGTGAAGAGGCGATTGCGGTAGTGGGCTGGGTCCGAGAGACACTCCACCGTTACTCCCGGGCCAAGGCTTGGACACGCAAACCCGACCCCGCACGCATTCGTCACGTTGCGCAGGATAAAGGGAAGCGGCAGCCCACCGTACACATCGTTCGCTGCCGCGTTGCTCACGTGGGTGATGAAGCAGCGCTGATAGAGCTCGCCGCCGATCGCAAAGACACCGATGAGGGCGAACGCGAAGGTGCAGAGGACGTACACAAAGAAAATGTCGCAGATGAGCGGAAAGCCGCGGGCCAGCGGGATGAGAAGCGGCTTCCACCACGGCACGAACACGAAGAAGCGCAGCGGCCGCGCCGCCGCAAACGCGCGCATCCAGCGAATGTGAAACGTCGGGGGAATGACCTGCAAGATGGCAAACACATTCACAGCCAGCTCAATCCAGTTCCACAGACTGCGGAGGAAGGAGTGCTCGCCCTCAAAAAATCCGCTCGCGACAATCTCAGCGAGCATGCGCAGCCAGAAAAAAGCCACACAGACCACCTCAATCGCAAACAGGGTCGTGTAGGTCGCACCGCCCATGTCATAACGCGGCTGAATTGCCGAGGTCATGCCAGTGCTGAGGCACACGAGCATGAACCATACAATCTGCATGCGTGGGTGCGTCACAAGCCTGCGGCAACTTCGACGCACTACATTACTCGGTGTCAGGCAGCCAAAGACGGTGGTGTCATCGTTCACCTCGACGACGGTAGTTGGCATCCATGTTTGGAAGTCGTTGATTTTGGAATAAGAGAGTAAAAAATATTGCATATCCCCAACACCACAACGAAGAGGATAAAAAGCCTTTATATATATATATATATATGTGTGTGTGTGTGTGTATTACACCGTCGCGCAGTGCAGGCTACACTTTAGAGAGAAGCTCAAAAATGATTTTACGAAACACGATAGCGCTCTACTATCTTTTTAAAAGAGAAGAGAAGGAGCGGGCGAAAGCACATATAAGAGTTGAGAACGATAGAAGAAAAAAAAAAGGACATGGAAAGCCTGCGAAGACAAAGAGCACAGACTGCAACCCGGTTTTTACGCGATAGCGAATGGGCAATTGATCAACACTCAGGCGCTTTTTCTGTTTTTTTGGCACGTTCAACCCCGTCAACGTAAACTCAGCGAGTTGAAAAGTGGCGCCATCACTGCCCCACTACAGAAGAGGGAACGGTGAGCGCAGTGTGAAGCTTTTAAAGGCCACACAACGACTGACGATAGTGGGACGCTTTCCCTCGCAGCTGGAGTAATTCCGTTGTTGTGATCTCGTTTTATCGCGAATTGGCAAGCAATAGAGGAGCGTTGAGTCGGGTATGAGAAAAAAAGGAATGATTGATTTCGAGAAGAAAACAAAAAGCAGCAGGACGACGTGTGTCTTTCGATCCTTTGAAGGAGAAAAACGTTTTTATGTGTAATAACAAGGAGATCAATGCGAGACTGAAACGAGTGTGGCAATCACCCATCGAAACTACGTGTATGCCATCCCTCGTCTACGAGCTAGGAGAACTTGTAAGAGACGGTAAAGGGGCTCATCGGGGTGCCGGAAAGGGAAAATAGTATTCCAAAGTGGGACGTGTTCTTCCGGCATTTCGAAAAATGATAGAGAACATGAACCGGTATACAAAAAAAAAAAGAGGCAGCTCAACTCTTCGTATCGTGAAAAGAAGTACTTCTCCAACCAAGTAGTAATCTCAACGTTGCATTAAGTGGTCTTGCAATAGAAAGCGTTTGTGTTTCACCTGTCGTGAACCTCAAGTCGTTGACACAGCTGTCTCCATGGATACTCGTCAAAGCCTGCAGAACACTAATGAGAAACGAAAACGAGACCACTATGGCAAAGCACCAGCGCAATAAACAAAACACATGCATAGATACGTGCAGGAAAAAATATATACTATCGGCCGCCTAGATCTACAGCCACGACGTGCACGCCACAGTTTCCGCTCACACAGACTTACCACACAGCAGACCTGCTGAGTAAATTATTTAATATAAGCGCTTTGTTTTCATTTATTTATGATCGCTTTGTCGCCGTCTCCTCAGTGTCGGCGTAAAGCAGGCAACACAACAGAGTTCGGGCGTGCATCCTCACACGAAGCTCTACGCAACCCATCTCGTTTTCTGCTGCCGCAAATCCGAAACCACGAGAAAGATAGAGCACGAGAAACACGGGCTGGCGGTGGAACAGTTTTCTATTATTATTATTAAATAAATAACAGTAAACGGTAGCTGACGCTATGCGACATCTTGAGTGCATCGTGTCGTAGCAGCAAAACCGCAGCAGCTAGCTTTTCTTGCTCTTCAGCTGCGGAAAAAGCTGGACGGGAGTCCGCGTCGTGTGTCGGAACGCATTCTTCTGGTCATGTTGCTGTTCTTTTTTGCACCGTTGCCCAACGCCACGCTCTACCATTTCGCACCGCTGGGCTTCTTTAAAGGAAAACAGTTTAGAGGAAAACATCGTGTTTTTTTTTCTTTTATTATATTCACAGAGCAAAACCGGGCATAACTGTGGAGAAGGGAGAGGGGCGGAAGGGGGTCAAATGCGCATCCGTCGTCGTGCACGCGGAGTTCCACTGAACGTGCGCGGACCGGCAGGCGGGTCTCCTTTGCTTCCGCGCTTCCGAGCTACCCAGGCAAGGGGCGAACTGCGAAGGCACCAACACGACGGGACGCCTCGACAGTGGGGCAACGTAGAACAAAAAATCGGACGTATAAGTGAGCAGAGGCAAGAAAAAAAAACAGAGGGAGAGAAAGAAGAAGACACCAACAACACACAAGAGCAGACGAGAAACTAACGACCTCAACAAGCACTCTCAAATAATAATAAAAACGGAAGGAAGCCAACGAGCAGTCAAAAAAATGCGGCAACGCAGACACACAAAAACCTGCAAAATAAAGCTCCTGGAAATAATCATTACGGAAAGCTACTTTATTGAAACATACAACAAAGTAAAAACATATATATATATATACTAGCACAGTAATCAACTAATAACCACTTTACTTTACAAACACATATATATGTAGTAAAAGAGATAGTAAACAACGCCATGAGAGACGTGAGGATGCACTCATTCATTGTTGGGACTCGTGACGATGCCGGTCTGGACGCCCAGCTGCTTCTTGTTCTCGGCGCTGTCTACCCCTACCACCTCCTCCTCTGCCTCCTCGCCTGCCCCCACACTGCCGCTGGCGTCTACGTCCTCGTCTGCGGCAGCCGCCGCACGCGCGTTGTCCTCGGCATGACGGCGCAGGTTTTCCCTCACAAAGACAAGTCCAACGATGCTGACGGCGGCCACGATCAGCGTGATTATCACGCAGAAAAAGGCGGTGTCCGTCGTCGGCACGTCGCCGAGGATGACGGAGAACACAACCATCCCGATGAAAGAGAAGAAGCACATGCTGATGAGAACCAAGGTGGAGGGGACCGTCTCGGGGCACGGGTAGGCCACCTCCACGGCGAGCTCCATCACCACGGGGACGAGCGGCAGCACCACGAATTCGAGCAGTGGGATGATGATGTAGAGGGCGATGGCCAGGGCGTCGGAGTTCGTCACCGTCTTGATCATCACCGTTGCGACCGTCACGATGGCCGTCGTGACCGCGGCGAGGCTGATGGCGGTGTACTTGTAGCAGTGGGTGCGGTCGACGAAGAAGCCAATCACGCCGCAGTTCACCGCACCGCCGAGGATGCCGGAGAAGGCGAGGATGCCAGAGGTGTCCTCATCGATCCCGTACGGCTCGAGCGCCTGCGCCAGCACACCGGCCAAGGCCGTCAAGAACCCAACGATGAGGCCGAAGGAAACGCAGAGCAGCAAGAAGTTCCAGTCCCGCAGCTGCGTCTTGAGAAAACGCGCCAGCGGCAGCTTGTAGTCCTCCGTGGAGGTCAACGAGGGGCGGTGTTCCGGCTTGTCACGGGCGAAGATGGCAATGAGCACAAACACTAGTATCGATAAGCCAAACTGTGAGCCCATCAGCCCGGCCCACTCCTTCGGCGTGTTTTCATCGGGGAGGGAGACGACGTGCGGGGAGTAGAACATGCCGACGGCCATGCCAGCAAAGCCCATCAACGAGGCCACGGCGGTCGCCACCGTGCGCTCGTTCGGCGCGAACCAGATCCCCGCGATGAGGGTCGGCAGACTCAAATAGAGAATCTGGCCAAAGGCGACAAACACCTGCGCCACGACGAGCAGTGGGTACTTGGGCGCCCACACCGCAATCAGCTTCAGCACCGCTGCGACGGCGTTCGTGCCGGCACCGATGATCATGCCATAGCGCAGGCCTACGCGATTGTACACGTAGCAGCCGGGCACCACGCCAATCACATAGACTATGGGGATCAGAAGGCTTAGCACGTTCACCGCAAGCGCCCCCACGTTGAAGTACTCCTCCGTCTCGCGAATAATGGTGGCGAAGGCGACGTACTGGACCTGGTTGATGAAGCCAAACACAGCGAACAGCACGATGATGAGGTACCGGTAGGGGGTGGTGCGGATAGGGGTCGTAACGCGCTCTTCGAGTGCGGCCACCTCCGGCAGTGCATCGCTGAGAAACATCTCCTCTCTCGTCGATGGGTAGGGCTCAGAGGCGGAGAGCCCTTGCAGGTTCATCGGTTGCTCCGTCGTTGTGGAGTCTACATACTGAAATACCTCATGATAGCTAGGCCCGGCCTCCGCCCCGCGTACTTTGGGCTCCATCTGTGTCGTAAATAAAACGTGGCTTTGCGAATTGGTGTGCCTTAATGCATGTAAGCACGACACTGCACACGTGCGCGTGAGTGGAAGGAAAGGATCCCTTTTGAAGTCTCACGACGAGGAAAAGATGTGTGCGTTGTTGTCTTGGAGTTCTAAACAAACAAAGAAAGAAAGATACTACTACGAAAGCACTTCTTTTGGTTTTACTGCAGAGCGAGAAATTCGATATGTATTTAAAAAACGCCGAAAGGACGTCATTTTGCGAAGTCCAAAACAGGGGTACAAGGAGGGGGGGGGGAGCAGTGGAAGCATCATCGGAAACTCTGAGATCAGGCTGTGCGACGACGACGTAACACGTTGGTTAGTTCTCATGGGTAGTGAAACTGGTCCTACTGGGTGTACGGGTGTGTGTGTTCGTCTTCAGTCGTGAGCGTCATCCGCACAGATGAAGAAGCATCAACGACGACATAGTCAGGGCTACCTGGAACATAAATTAAGTTCTCCGTATCCCTGCCTGGCGGGAACATCTAAGATGAAAAGCAGTGAGTGCATCTAAGGAAACCCAAAAATAGTGAAGTTCAGAACGCTGCAGTGCTCCGTTCTTTTCTGCAGCGCGCCGCCCGCATTCGCTTCAGCAGCTGCTCGGCCTTCTGCGCCGCCGAATCGGATAAAAGAAGCTTGTCGGTGATACCGTAAGTCTGCGTTATATGTGTCTGCTAGGGCTGGCGTTATTTCTATGATGGGGTACCGGTGCTGACAGGGGGGACGCAATGTGCGAGTACCCGCGACGGCGGTGATGCAGCCCGTTTTCGCGCTTCTCGCCCACGCAGGTAGAGCGACGCGATGGTCGCCCTTGCGGGCTCTCCGAGTACCTTCCTCGACCGCGCATGTTGTACCTGTTCTCGCAGTCCCTGCGGTTGCGGGATGGCGTTGGAAACGAGTACAGATGGGAGGGAAACGTGTAGGCTCTGAAGCGCTGGTGGAACCTCTCATCTTCCTCGACATCGCGCTGCGGCCGTGCATCGCTGCGGTGCGACTGCTGCTCCTGTTGGCACTGCGCGTTTCCGTAGAGTCGGTCAAACACGCTGGAGTTAGCGCTCCACAGACGCAAGACATCATCGTGGGTGTGGTTCACCTGCGGGGCAAAGGTGCAGACGGACTCTTCTTGTCGAGCCCGTGACACAACCGCCTCAAACGCGGGTCGGCTGAGGGAAGGCGGAGAGAGGCGGTGCAGCCGCTCAAAGATAGTTTCGCTCGATGTTTGCTTCCTGAAAAGGTCATCATCTACTGGCGGAAAGGGGAGAAGCACTTTTACGGACGGGGCACCACCCGTGTCCTCGCGGCAGAGAAGCATTTTGCTTAGCACGCCTTCAAGGGATGAAATCGACAAGGAAAGCCGATGGTAACACAGCAGGAGGCCTGAAGAGCACGGGAAGAGAACCAGTAAAAAGGGGGTATAGCGGATTGTGCCACAGCCGTCAACGATGCGCAATTCTTTCTTCTTATCCTTTACTGTGAAAGGTAAGCAGATGGTCAGCAGTGTTCTCCATCGACCGACAAACACAATTGTTTGTCAAACAAAACCGCTTCGAGGCTGATTGTGTACAAGCAAAGAAAAAGAATCGACTGCGGTGCAACCGTGCCTCTGCGAACAGCACTCGTAAAAGCGAATTAACCAATCCTTTTCGTTTTTTCCTGTTTATGGCAGCGGGAGACGACGCACCCCTCAACGCGCTGTAATACCGTAGGCGGCGCTGATACCGCCGCCCTTTTGAAGAACACAAAATCCTACTCCTCGTAATCGATCTCTTCACAGGCGCCGTCGTGGTCGATGGACATGTCGTGGTCATCCATCACTGTGCGCTGCGACACCGCGGGGGCCACCGCGTGTCGCTGCATCGGGTGTATGCCGAGGGCTGCCTCGTCAATCTCCAACAGCTTCAAATCCTCCTGCAGCTGGTCTTGGCAGCGTGTGAGTTCCCGCTCGCGTGACTCTAGCGTGCGGTCCCACTGCGCGACCGTCTCGTGCTTGCGCATGAGCGACTTCTTGCGCTCCTCCATCTCGCGGTGAAGCGAACCCATCTCCGCCAGCGCCCGCTGCAGCTCCTCTTCCTCCCGTTGCTTCTGTCGCTCACGAGACGTCAGCGATGCCTCCTCGTCTCGAAGGGCGTCCTGACGCGCCATGGCGGTCATCAACGCAGCGTCCTCCGTCTCCTTTTCCCGCTGCAGCTCCTTCAGGCGTCGGTCCATCTCATCCCCCTGCGCCTGCAGCGTAGGACGGGTCTGCTGCACCGCGCGCATCACCTTTTCCTCGTCGGACAGCAGCCCGCTGCTTTGCTTCCGGGAAGCGCTGATCTGCGCACGGCACTCCTGATGTTGAACTTCAAGGCAACGACGCTCATCAGCGATGTTCTCCTGCATTTCGTCGAGCACCGCGACGCGACTGCGGATGTACGCCTCTTGACGGAGGTAGTAGGCCTCCAGCTCCTTCTGCAGCTTGACGCCATCTTGGAGGAGCTGGTGGTAGCTGTCGATGACTTCATTGCTCTCTATGACAGGGGACGCCGTCGAGGACGGGCCTGCAGTGGTGGCGCTCTCACTTGACATAGATCTAGTGTGTCTATATATATATGCGTGTATTCGGTCTTCACGGAAGGTGCTCTAGTGAAAGTGCGATCCGGCTTCTCTTCTTGTGGGGGGAGGGGCGGCCCAAATTATTAACCACAAAGAGAGCCACAACAGAAGAAAGCCGAAAGACGGATGTTGGCAAGTGGAGAGATGGAAATGGAAGGAGACATCGCAGCACGCCAGCTTTGCTCTTCGACAAAGACACTTTTTGCTACATCTCCTTTTTTTAAAATGTACTTAACAAGAAGATGATGAGCAACGGCTTTAATTCACTCGCGTTGTTTTTGGAGACGTAAGAACAGCAGCAGCATCCGAGGCACGGGCCGGTAGCCCAAATACGCACACACCAACACTAGAAAGAACCGCAAAAGCTCGATGAAATACACACCCGGCTGCAGACGCAGCTCCTTCACACGTGGCTGCCGACCAACATAAACTTGCCAGCCTACACCTCTTCCGGCAGAACCACCGCGTACTGACACTACCGCCGCTTCCTTTGATGTGTCTCCGGTGGCTTTACCGCAATCCACGGTACCTGACACACGTAGTGGAAGACGTGCTCGACGCAGCGCTGGCGCGGCGGTGCGACGCGTACCGCATCGTGATCAGCAACATCGGAGGCGGTGGATTTGCTGCCGACACACGTGGTCACCGTCAGCACCGCCTCGTGTGCGGTGAGAGAGTGTGCCATCTTTCTCCGTGAGGGTAAAGAGCGCCATTACCGAATTGCCAGTTATTTTGGCGCTTCTACGAGGACACCATACGAAGCAGCCCAAGAATCCTTTACTATGTGTGTGTGTGTGTGTGTTGTTGGTGCTGCGGCCTCAGAAGGACGCCCGGTCCGATGAGCAACAACACCTCGAATTGGAAGAGACGAGACGGGAGAAGAAGAGTCATCAACACGGCGTTCACGCCAACGGCTGCGTTTGGAAGATGCACACAACTGGCAAAGCATGAAGATTGAAACATCTTCCAAAACAGGTAGTAACACACAATCGCAGAGCAAAAACACGCGCTCGAAGCCAAGAAAGAAGGAGACCTCGTCTGTTTCGGTGTCTTCGCGGACACCGTCTGTGTGCTGTCCGCACACCAATACACCAACTCAGTGAGGGGCAGTTTCGTTCACGTGTTGAACACGATGAAGTGCTGGTGCAGACTAAAAGAATAACCAAAACGGCTGCGTTGGATGGAAGAGAAACGGATCTGATAGTTAAACAGAACGGCGAAACAGCATTTACCCGAACGTTTTAAATTAACGAAGAATGAGCCGTCTTGGGAAACGGCCCGTTGCCCTGTTCTCGCCTGGTCGTCTTCTCAACGATGCGGTCGCAGCATCGACGTGGAACTCCTCGTTGCTGTTGTTGCTGTTATTATCCCTGTGAAGACAACTCAGGTAAGGGAGCATCCCCGCTCTCGCACACACACGACGATGGAGTCCGTTTAAGTCGTTGCGTGAAAGTGCAGAATAAAATGAGAGATCGAACGCTGTGGGGAAACACACACACACACACACAGAGAGAGAGAGAAAACAAAAGAAGAAGTCGACAGCGTCAACGCCATCCTCATTGCTCCTTCGCGGCGTGTTCATCGTGTTCCTCATGCTGGTCGGAGGCAGCGGAATCCGTCACCGTCTCGCCCCCCTTCTCCTTCCCAACCACCTCTTCATTCTTCTCCATCTCCTCCTGGTGGTCTTGCGCCTCGTTGCCGCGCATCGCGAGAATGCCGAGCTCGTCCTCTTGCTCCTCCGTGCGTGTGTACGCGACCGACTCCAGCTTCGGATCCTCGTTCTCCGGCGGCGGCAGGTGTGCGCGGGGGTTCTGAATGTAAACGTTGCCGAGCGGGTCGTCGAGGATGAAGGTAAACTCGCGCTTCATCTCCAGCAGGTCGTTCAACTCCTTCACAAACTCCATCATGGACTTCGAGTTCTCGTCGGCGGAGTCACCGACGGCGAAGGCGGCCTGCGGAAGCGTGTTCAGCTGGTCCCGCACTTGCATTATGGTGCCCTCGACTGAAGAAAAGAAGCCGCCGAGCGTGCCCGGGGCCAGTTCGAGGTGTACCTCAGGAACTAGCAGCGTGGCCGTCTCGGATTTCAGCACGTCACGCTTCAGATCGTCTTCGGACTGCACGTGCAGGGTCAGGCGCAGGCCCTTCTCGTTGATCTCACCACCCGTCTTGATCTCATTGCTCTTGTAGCCGCAGAAGTCGCACTTGAAGGCCATAATGACCGTTTGTTTAAAGTATGGGATATCGCACTCGTGCATCATCATGTGGCCGGGCTTGCGGCACGCGGGGCAATCGCACGGAATCTGCGTGACATCGGAGTACTGACCTTCGTCAACGTCCTGCTGCTCCTCCTGCGTGCGCTCGGTGTTGTAATCGATGGCCACGCCGAGCAGCTGACGGTCAACGTCGGTCCGCTCCTTCTCGTACTTGGTCAGCTGCGGGTCGAGGGTAGGGTGGTAGTAGTCGTGGATCGGCTCAATGTAGCTGTTGCCGGCGGGGTCGTCGAGAGTCAGCGTGAAGGGGACATCGCCGCTGCGGTAGTCCTCCAACTTCTTGCAAAACACCTCGATCTTCTCGTACACCTCGGGATGCTGGATCTTCCGCAGGGGCTGCTGCAGCTGCAGTCCGTCGTGCGTCTGCTCCAAGATGCCCTCGACGGTGTTGAGGTTACCCTTCTGTGACTCCGGCGGAATCTCCAGCTCCAGCTCGGGGATTGTAACGGTCGCGAACTCCGACTTCACGACCTGGCGGTCCAAGTCCTTCTTGCTGCGCACCTGCAGCTCATACCGCACCTTTTTGGGCCCGAACACGCCACCAAAGGTAACGTCGTTGTTGCGCTCCCCGCAGTGCGGACATTCGAAGCTGCTCACGATGATCTCCTTGAAGTGGGGAATTTTGGTGATCATCAGCCGCGTCTTGCCCATCTGCTCGCACTTCGGGCACATCGACTCGATGGTGTTCATCTCTCCCAGATCAGTCTTGATGTAGTTGGGGTGGTCACCGCCGTCATCGCTGTCGTGATCGTCGTTGGCGACGTCGTGACCGTGCTCGCTTTCCTTTCCCCTCTTCGTATCGTCTTCATGGGCCGGTGCGACGAGTGCCGGCACTGGCGCCTCTGCCGGCGGGGGCACGCTCGGCGTGTTCTCCTGCTGCTCCTTGTCCGACATTTCAACGCGTCAAAGGAGGGGAGGTGTAGCACCGTGAGTAAGTTGGGGGGGGGGGGGGCGTGAAGAAGCAGTCGGCAGCGGCTGGGCACGAGGCTGCTGAGTGCTGCACGCGACAGCTCACACAAGAGAAAAAACAATATGAATAACAAACAAGGCAACAGTGCAGTAGCCTTCACTAAAAGCGGTGCGTAATACACTAGATATGTATTTGCTGCGCGAGGAGGCGTTTACCCTCTTACTTTCCTCTGCACCCGTGCCAGTGAACTTCGTCTGTTAGAGACGTAATAACTTACGGTACGTTACTACGCTTTCTTCTTAGCCTTTAATTATGTGTGCGAGTCCTGCGCTACGCACGTGTATATTTGGTGTGTTAGACGTCCGCTGTATCGGCGGCTCTGCGAACTCTCGGTACGGATCGGGGGCACTCCTCCTGCAGGCGTCCGGATGATGGCGCAGACGTCGCGGGGAAGAGAAAAAAGAAAGAGAAGACGCCAAAGGCATAGAAGTTGGTGCTCACGACTCAAAAAAGACGAGCAACGCGCACTGCGGAAAGAGAGAAGGCGCGCAGACGTGCGTGCGTGTCGGGGAGAAGTCGGCATTGTGTTCTCCTCAGTATGTAGAAACGCAAAAGACCGCAGCCAGCGTGCTGCATTGAAGTCGATGCATAATGTTTATCCATCCGCTCTTGTTGATGGCCCTGGAAGCAAATCACTGGTACAATGAATACACAAGAGGGAGAGAATGCATCGAAAACAAACCTGTTGGGTAAAAGCATGTGGGTTGTGTATAACACAGCGCCTTGAAACGCAGCGGCGACTTCACGACGACGGAGCCGCTGGTGCTAGGTTCGCCTCTAGCTGATCGATTCCTCGCTGGATGACGTCGCATTCATCGAAGGCCTCCCGCGCGATTGCCGCTTCCAGCTGACGCTGCAGTTCCTCCAGGCGACGCCGCAGCTCCTCCTCCTCCGCAGACGGCAGCGAATCGTTTGGTACGTCGTCTGTTGTCGATGTGGCGGCAGCAGCCTCCGTCGTGCTGCTCGCTGGTGACGGCACTGGAGGAGAAGAGGTCTGCGCGGCAGCTGCCTCCCCTACCGCTCCGTCCGGCGCTGCGGCGGCTGTGCTGCTCTCGCGAACGTGCAGCCACTCCTGTCGAAGCGCACCCCAAAGTCCATGGACAGCCTCGGCCAGTTCATCGGCGCCTTGGCTCTCCTTTGGCAGCTGCACGTAGTCGGGCGTGTTGGCGGCCGTCGCAGCAAAATCCTCCACCGCAGCGCCGTAGTCACGCCGGAAGTCTGACGCGTAGCGCCGCGTCTCGGCCTCTACGGTGGCCAGATCGCTGCGAAGGCGCCGCATCGTCCGCTCTAGCGCTCGCACCTGCCCTCCGTAGAGCTCCACGTCGTCCCGGCAGCCCTCTATGCTCTGCTGGACCACCCTCAGCTCATCAGCACAGTGCTGCGCTTCTTTGAAATTCTTGCTGGCCACGGCGGCGGACTTGGCGGCGCACAGCGGGGCCACACGCGCCTCACACACCTCCAGGCGGCGCTGCGCATCCCGCCGCAGCTCCTCCTCCGCGTCCAGCTCGCTCGTCAACGCGTCCAGCTGTGTTAACAGATTCATCCTCTTGGCCAAGGCGGAGGGTGTGTCTTTGAGGCGTTCATCCGGGTATGACGCCGCCGGGATCTCAAAGAGCACGTCGGCGCCGCGCAGTCGCATGGCCAGGAGGTCCTGCCACGACTTCCAGTAGCGGTCCGAGGCGGGGATCGTGTCCTGCTCCAGTGCACGTGTGCGCTGATGCACCGCCTCCCGCTCCTCTCGGCGCTTCGTCAGCTCCCTCTGCAGCTCCGCCGTGGCGGCCTCGCGCCCCGCCCGCTCCGCAGCGATGCGTGCCGCCTCCGCCTCCACATCGCTCCACTGCTGACGTACGCGCTGCACCTCCCGTTCGCCGCTTTCCACAGCTGCCGCGGCAGCGTCGAGCTCGCCTGTGTGGGCCGCTTTGGCGGTTTGCAGTTTCTCATCTACCGCCGACAGCTGTGCACGGGCAGCGGCTCGCCTCGCCTCCAGCTGGCGCAGCTGTGCCTTTAAGTCCTCGATTTGGCTGTCCAGCTCGCCAACTTCCTTTGTGAGACTCTCCTGTTGGGCGCGTGTAGCGCTGAGCGTCGCATCCACTCGCTTCTGCAAGTCTGCCTCGCCAGCACGCGCCGCCCGCAGACGCGCCTCGGCGGCCGACTTCTTCAACGTGAGATTCTCCTTGCGCACCTCCACCGTCTCCTCGCGCAGCCGCAAGTCGGAGTCGTCGCGGTGCTGCTGCGCCTGCACACGCGCCCGCTCCCTTTCCTCGTCGCTCTGCAGTTCTGCCTCCTGTGCACGCAGCAGCGACGCGACACCGCGTACCGCCTCCTCGAGTTGTCGCTGCGCACCTGTGACGCGCCGGCCAAGCCCGACCCACACCTCGTCGCACCTCTGCACTTCATGCGCGGTGGTCTTCACGTCACCTGAGAGCACATCCGCCTCGCGGTAACGCTCAGCGCGCACACACTCCTGAATCTGCGACTCCACGCCGTGGATATGGGCGACCTTCTCCTGGCGCTGCTGCAGTGCGTGTTGCGCCTCAAGGAGGAGGGTCGCGAGGGCGGCACGCGCCTCTAGCAGGACGCCTTGGCTGACTCGTAGTTCGCGTCGGTGGCGGTCACTTGGCGTTTCTTTTTCCTCTGCCTCTTCCCCTGCTGTTGTTGTGGCGGCGGACGACGAGGTGGGTGACGGAGGAGCGGGCCGTTGTGCAACTGAAGTTCTCTCCCCTTGCTGTTGCTGTGGGTCTGCAGGTTCCACCGCGGCTGGAGAAGGAGACGAGGACACCGTTGTGGTCCTCTGACTCTCCTGTGCAACTTCTGCGGCGTCCTCTTGACCAGTTGAGGACGACGACAGCCGCAGAGCAGCGCAGACGGGCGGTGTTGCCGCACGCCCATTCGGCTTCTCTCTCTCTTCGTTTGTTAGAGGAGCGGCTGCCCACGCCGCCACCTCCGCCTCCGCTGTCGCACTAATGAAGCGAAACGCAGAAGCCGCCGACTCGCTCGCCGTGCGTGGTGGCGTCACCGCGGGCAGCGAGTGCACGTTCGACGCCGACAGCCCCACCGGCTCCGGTCCGTACCGCTGCACCAACTCCTGAAAGAGCTGCGCCTCTCGTCCCTCGTAGGCCTCCATAATCATCTCCACATGGGCCAGTTTGGCTGGGTTGTAGAGCCGGTAGAAGTTGTCCAGCCGCTCACGCAGTTCCGCTGGGGAGGTCGAAGAGGATTCCGCAGCTTTGTGATGCTCTTCACTGGGAGTGGCAGCGTGAGCAGGAGCAGCAGCGGCAGAAGGACCGGATTTATGGATCAGTTCGTCAGCGTGGGGCGTTGCACTGTTGGTACTCAGCGAGGGCACGAGTGGGCGTCGACGGCGTCCTTTGCCCACTTCCATCCCGCTAAACAGGAAAGACGAAGGCGCAATGTCCGCAGGTGCGTCTTCGGAGTTCACCGCCTCGGATGCACGTGAGATAGGGGTCACAGAACTCGCAGCAGCAGCAGAAGGTTGTGCGAGGGTGATGGGTGGTGAAGGCGACGAGTTCACCTTCGTGACGGTCGGTGCTGTGTACGGACTGGTCTGCGCAGCGTTGGAGGGAGGGAGGACAATGGGATGAAAGCCGGGGCTCTGCAGCTCGTTTATCTTTGGCTTGTCATCCCCTCCCGTGAACCAACTAAACATTGCTTCTTCGATGCGCAGTGCCCTCTTTTCTATTTAGAGAGAGAAGAAAAAGGCCTTTCCAAAAGGTTTGAGAGGAATCACCTTCCCCGTATGCTTTGTTGTGGCTGTGGCTGTTCACAGTGGGTAGCACCGCTATTCCAAGAGAAGGCAGCAAGCGGGAGGGAAGGAAGTGGAAAGAATGGATAAGCGGAAAACAATAGATGTGTACCTTTTAATATATATATATATATATATATATATATATAGACG